CTCAGGCGGGTTTTGGGGAGGGGAGTACCGATATTGAGAAACCTGCACTTGAAGCAGCACAACATGGTAGGCTAGAATGAAAGAACAAAGCCAGCGCAATACATTTCATCCCCGAAAATCATGACTACTTACTCATCCCAAACAGTCATTCTGCAAGATGCAAAGTGCTGGCATATTTAAAAACCAGGATCAGATAAAGCTATTGTCCTCAGCAGAAGTAAGACCAAAACCCACCTGTGCACCCACAGAACCTTTCCCTTATAGTCCAGTTTTCCATATCTGTCTTTAAAAAGGAAAAAAACAGCCGCTCCTTGGCTTCCAGATGTATTCATGGGATATTCCAACTTTTCCTGGCATAGTGATGCCTGTATCTGAGGATTACAGTGGACTGGATAACTGGATTAACTGGATAAAGGATGTTATAGAGGCATTGGTCATAAATGCCAAAGCATTTCTTAAACTGTTTCCATATAGATTATAATTTTAGGATGGAGACGCACATTGTTCTTAAATGATTCAAGGAATCCCTTATGTCCCAAGGTTTCCAAGAAAGGGGAAGAACCTGTTAATAGATTGCTGTGCTTAATAACTGCTGAAAGGCATTGCATGGCAGTTAGCCAGGACTGCCCTTTTTTCCTGAAGGAAATTAGAAGCTGCTTTCTGTTATTATGCAAGAAAAACACCCAGCCAGGTCAGTCAACTCCGGGATAAAAATCTTTCTGAAGAACTAATGGGACCCCCCCTCAAAAACAGTTTTCATCTCATTTTACAGGGAAATTCATAGATGTTAGGGTCGGAAGGGACCTCAATAGATCATCGAGTCCGACCCCCAAATCATGAGGTCAAAAGGAAAAACGTTTAGCACAATGAAAGGCAGCTATGCCAACCCCCTTGGGGAAATGAGAGATCAAGCAAAGTAAGCAATTACTAAACTTCACCATTAATAATTACAGTCATTAGGGAAACTTCACTCAAAACAAGTCTTACTCTGTTTGGCTCAGCGTGTTAGGAAGGCTGATGTCTCTTGCCTGCTTGAGGAAGTCTCACCCGGTGCAGTGCCTGCCAGGTGAATTTGCAAAAAAAAAAAAAAATATATATATATATATTTTCCCCCCCCCCCCAAGCATGGAAAGGAGGACTCTAAAAAGCAAGCTACTTGGATAGATACAAAGAGCCTAGTTACCTGCAGCGCGTCCGTCAGCGTGCGGCCACGCAGTCCTGGCTCCCAAGGCTGCCTCCAGTGTTGGACTGATGGAGCTGACTAGTACACGGGGAATTTAGAGCCCTCAGGAGTGCTGCAGCCACGTGACCCCGAGAAAAAAGTGCCCTGCTCCTCAATTATCAGGTCCTTTCCTTGCAGTGCCGCCGACAGCTCACAGGATAACGAGCCGGTGAACTAATGAGAGTCAGAACGGTACCCCTTCCAGGGTAAGAATCACAGGCTGTTCTTCCCACCTCTCCCCGAGACAAGGTGTTACAAGAGAGTCTCCGATGATGTACAGGTACATGCACGGTCTATAGAAAACGGCTTTGAAACTCACTTTGATTACAGCTGGGGGGTGGAAAAAAAACCTCCTAGTCCCAATTCCAAAGGGCAGGAGAGCCTTGTTGGTCTCTGCATCCAGAGAAACACAGGTTGCAGTTCAGCATGAATAGTCCAAGTCAAATTGAACAGGACCTACCCGTGAGCTTATAGAGGGGAGCACTTTGGCTTGCCTTGATCCGAGCAGAAGGGCACTATGTGCCTGTAAGCTCGGCTAACATCTCTCCCAATGATACAGTTGTTCCAGCAAGAGATCTCACCCCCCCAAAAAACAAAAAAAACCCCTCACTTCTCCTTAATCCAGGACAAGGCATAAAGACCTTGACGGTCACGTTTCTACCTCAAAGCTCTCCATAGGACCGAGCCCTTGCAAGGCTGTGTTGTTCCAAAAGTCACCTGTTGTGACAACAATGACAAACCCGTCGGGCTTGTAATTCAGAGGCCCAGGAAATCCCAGTTATTGAAACACATGAAGAAAGTGCTGTCTTTTGCAAAGCCTTTGTGTTGCCTAGATGTTTATGCTGGCAAATGAGTTGTTCCCAAGGAGGTCTCCCAGTCATTAGTGCAGAAAATCACTTCATCAGGGAGAAAGCAGAGAGGCAAAATTGGAGCCTCTTTTAGTTAAGCGCTGTGCATGCAGAAACGCAATCCATGCCTTGAAAAGCACATGGCTCAGGCAGACAAGAGGGACAAAAAAGGGGAGAGACGGGTGCACAAAAGCAAAGTGACTGAACAAAGGCCCAACAAGTCGGTGGCACAAGCAGGAACAGAAACTAAATCCCCTGAACTCCCAGCCAGGTCTGCTACAGCTACAGAAATCTTACTATATTTGAATGTGAAGCAGACCCTTGGTCAGAAATCATTATAAAAATGTCCAACCTTGGAGCGCACAAATACGAGATAGTTATTTTGAACTATAACCGCACTATTTTTAGCGGAGACAGATAAGAGCTCCTTGAACCTGAAGTTACAGAGTAAGAGGACTGCCGAGAAGTCAATATGTTAGCGCATTAGAGATAACACAGAAAAGCTTAGTCCAAAACCCTGCCAGATAAATACAGCTATGAACCAAATCAGCAGAGCTCCATCCTCCTACTGGAGATCCAAGCTATTAGACCACAGAAGGATAAGAAGTCTCTCACATGGTAAAACTCGCACAAATTTGACAAAGAGCTCTCTGGCCAACAGCATTAAATACAGTAGCTGAGTCTTTCTAGAGTGCTTTTCATCAATACATCCTCAAAAAGCTTTGCAAAAAAATCAAAGTCGCCCATCATTACAGGGGAGAGACCTGAAGCGACTGATCAGATATCTCCTAGCAGACCAGGATGGAAATAGAAGCGAGAGCTGCATGCCCCAGTCTAGCACCCGATACAGCAAAGCTTCCCTACCTCTTCTCAGAGAGGTAAACTGGACTAACGACGCCAGCTGCGATAACGGAGAGAGCACCCACTACAGAATTAAGCAAGAACTATATATTTAGACGGCAACTAATGCCCCTTATCTGTGTTCTATAAAATGTGAACATTTATGGTGCTATAAAGGCTTATAAATAATACCGGCGGTGTCAGCATATTTGTGGCTTTACAGCTCTTTTGCAGAAAAGAAAAATGCCTAAACTAATCAGACAATTCAGGAGTCTACAGGGCAACTTGGACCAATACCTGGACTACAGAAAGAGGCAACGATTTCTGATATTCTGTAGGATCCCCTGACAAAGGCCGTGCATTTCTCTAGAGGAACAGAAAGCAAAGTGACCTCACGGTCAATGCTCAAGGCTCCTTCAGTGTAAAGGGTCTTACTCATTTTGGCCACAAAGTTCCCTGCTTTCCGCAAATGTAGTGGCACCCCCTTCAGCTCCACAGGAGAAGCAGACTCCCAAAACAGAGGCGTGGGGTTGGTTCATGGGCTGGATCCCACCTGGAGCTGGCATACAGGATCAGTCTGCACGACTCACAGCACTGGTCTGGCCTTGGTCCATGGATCCAGCTGCGTGCTGGCCCATTCCCATGCTCCAGCCTGAACCCCGTGCCCAAACCTGGCCACTAGTGGCCATCATAGAGGACAGTCTGGTTGTCCTCTGTGGATACAAAACCGGATGCCTTTAGGTACTCTATTTTTCTCTTGAAAAGAAAAATAGAGGACATAAAGTCATCAGGTTTCGTATCAATATAAGACAGAGGACAACCGGACCGTCCTTTATGATGGCCACCCTACTGGTGCACTAGATCGTGCCATCACGTAGCAAGGCCACATTATACAGCCTGCAGCAGGGCTCCCCATGGGTCCAGAAATTTGGCAGCAGGAGAGTGCCAACACTGCCAACACTCCCCCACTGCCAAATTTCCAGCTATGTGGGGAAAATGGCTTTGCAGACTGGATCTAGCCTGTGGGCCAGAGGTTGGGGACCACAGTCTTGCGGCATCACCTCCTTGGAGCAGCGGAGTCGGAGTCTCTGCTCTTCCCTGGAACCTGCAGTACCGAGACCATAATTGTAGCTTCTAGTAAAAAAAAATCATGGGTGGACAAAGGTTCAGAAATCTTAGCTCCACATCTCACATGCCAGCAGGCTCAGATGGGATCCATTAAAAAGCCTCATCTTCGGAGATAACCCAGTGCTGGCCGAGTACAAGAACGGAGACTGTATCAACAGTCCCACCTAATGCTGCTCTGCATGGGCATGGAGAAGATCACAGCACAGTGGCAATCCCAGCTGGACTGTTTTCCAGCACTGTCTGCACAGCCAACCTGGACATCCCCAGGAGGTCTGGCCTGCTTCCCACCAGCTGGACCAATATGATGGAAAACACTTCTGGCAGGAGCACTGAAGCAGGGAAACACCACATTTCATTTGCCTATTGTGCAAAAATAAAACTGGACACCATAGGCCCTGTCGCTGTGCACCATCACACGGCATTGCATGGTTTTTGGCTGTAGCCGTGTTGGTCTAAGGACGTAGGTAGGCAAGGTTCTTTGGGTAGATGAATAAAAGGCATTACATGCCTTTTATTCCTAACAGCGAGGCGGAGAGGACTCTTTTGGGAGCCTCTATAAAAATCAAAGACATTAACTGCTACTCATCCACTGTCACAAATACCGCTAGTTGATCAGGGCCTGATTATCACACCACAGCATCCTTTACCTCCGCTTGCAGCATAAGGAGGAGCTGTAAAGGCCCTTTACTCTATAAGAGAGATGTGAAAGCACATGGCTGAATACCTGAGAATTCGGGTCTCCAAGCTTAAATAAAAAGACATGCAAGGGGAGTACGGAGAAGCGAACCCAAGTAGTGTCTTAGGAAACCGCAAGGACAAGAGCAATTGCTGGACACTTGTAACTAGGCAGAGCTACCTGCTGGGAGCCAGGGAATTTTAACGAGCGACTCACCAATGTTGCAACAACTAGCACATCTCGGAGTCGGGATGCAGAAGACTTGCGTTAGCAGCTACTGCCACTCCACACTGCTGGCATCAAACCCTGGCAATAAAACGAACAGTCGTTACAACCCGGAGGTATGCATACGGTCAGATGGCTTTATTATCGGGTTTCTTATGCAGCATTTTCAATCTGCCGTAGCCCAGCCTTCTCAGCCAGAGCTTCACATGGATCATATTAAAAGAGGACGGAGCGGAAGAAAAGCGCTTCTGAACATTACCCAAGCCCGTGCCTATTTTTAAGCAGGCAAGTAGCTACATACACCACTTCCTTGTTTCAGTAGGTTGTCAACGCAAAGCCGTAAAGATGCTAGATGTGATTTCTTGACCCAAGTGAGAAGAGGAAATAACGTTCTGGCTGGGTTTGAGTCCGGGTGCGGGGAAGGAGGGGAGTTCTTGGGTGTCTCTGAGCCCTACAAAAGCTTTGAACATAACTGCAAGTCACCACCGCGGCTTCAGGAGCCCGGAGCAGAGGGAGAGGAGCAATTGAAAACAAAACTCTCAGCGAATTCGGCTGACACGAGCCTCTCCCTTCTCTTCCAGGAACCGAGGAAGCTGCCTCTCTCAAACGTGAGTTCTTTCCCGTCTCCTGCCTTAAAAGAGGAGGCATTTTACTCAGCTCTCTCCCTTGACTAATGTAAGAGATAAGAAAAAAAAAAAAAAAAAAAGTCTAGAGGGTAGAGAACAAACTAAAACCCCCACGTATCTAACTGTACCACAAGGTGGATTGAAAGCCTTCCACTTACCAGGTTTTTTAGCCCATCTTTATAATGGGTAGAACAGATGGATCTATTTGTAACAACTGAGCTTCCCAATTTTTGTCAATTTTGCATTGGTCTGGTGTGGTTTAACTATCTTTTGCTTACTATAACGCCTGATCATTTAAATCACCTTAAAACACTGGGTTTGGAAAGCAGAGTAACTGGATTTGGGGTTTCCATACACCACTCTTAATTTCTCCCAGCTCTTTTGCTATTCTACCCTGGGTACTTTTTGATCCATATTTTGAGCAGTGGCTCTTGTTCTAGGTGCTCAACGTGATGACTTCAGACCCATTTTTTTCCTGGCTTCTGGGCATCCTCTAACCTAAGTGAAGCTGGCAGCAGCAGCTCAGCTTCTGGGGAAAGCAAGGAGCAGGCCCAAGTTGCATCTCAAGAAACTGCGACAAGGACTAAAAAGTCCTCCCAAGCAGGAATCAGGGGAGTGCAGGTAGAAGAGAGAACAGCCCAGCTCCTGCTGGGCAGCTGGAGACTGAAAAGAAAACCTTGCTAAGCCTTTGCTGGAGCCTTCCCTCTCTCACCATTGCCAACTTTTATTTTAAATAAAATAAAATAAAAATCACAGAATACTTTTAGTCTGTCTTACCTGACCCAGGGCACCCCGACTAGCTGGATGACTAGCATTAAGTCAGGGGTGGGCAAGATACAGTCCGGGGGCTGGATCCAGCCTGCCAGGCCATTCCATCTGGCTTGCGGCGCCCCTAAAAAATTTGAAAATTAATATTCATTTGCTCCTAGCTGCCTGTCAAAGATGACAGGAGCCAGGGGCAGTAGGACCCAGAGGAAGCTAGTGGCAGGACCCAGCAGTAAGGTCTGCCCAGCCCTTACCCCCAACCAGAACCCCTGCCTAGCAGAGGCTTCTGGCCTGGGACCATGGGGCTGTTCCTGCTTCCCTGTGCCGAAAAGGGAAATACAGCCCTCAACACAGTTTGCCAAAACTCAGTGCGTGTCCCTTTGCCCAAAATAACTGCCTGCCCCTGCATTAGGTACTGGCATCCTGTCACTTGTGCCTTCATGGTAGCTGCTCCAGAACTTTAAAAAAAAAAAAAAGAGTTCAACTTTATCTCACAAGAATCTTTGACCTGCCTTATCTGGCTGGACTTTTGTTCCTTTTCTATCTTGCAGCTTATATTCCTCATGCTCCAGTTCCTCCCACCCCCCAAAGCCCACAAGTGCAGGCTGTTCTCAGGTGCTGCTGCTAATAACCTGCCCATATAGACATTAGATCAGCCATTTGTCTGCTCTATACAACCCTTCAAAGCACGCTATGGAAAACACTTCCTCAATTTTGCAGTGGAATTGTGCACGGAGTAAAAAGCACGTGCCTTCTCCTCCCAACTCCCACCAAATAGGTACTTAAATAGCAGCACCCAAGGCTGCGCTATGTTTGTAGAGATTTTGAGAAAGGAAGGATGTACAGAAATTAAAAAGGGAACTCATGGGGGTAAATCCTTCCTTCCCATCAATTCTAGGCATCCTTTCTCAGCAATAGCAGAATGTTTCACAATGTGAGGTTTCTAAATTGTTTGCTGGAAAAAAAAGAAAAGAAAGGCTCAGTCAGGACATGGGCCTTTCCTTTACAAGAGTTTACCCAAAATGCGCACAGTACAGGATACTTTCAGCCAGGCCCAGAGAGCAGACAAGTCCATAGCATCAACAGGACAGCAACACCCAGAGGAGACAGGAGTCCGTGTTCATAGATCATTGCCAGTCGAGCAGGGAATACGAGTAGGTTGGACATACTCAAAACATCCACACGCACCCCCAGTTTATTCCCTTACATGCCCATGAAGTGCCATCTCTTTGTACAGCATCCTTCCTTACTTTGTCACCTCTCTGCTAGAAACAGGACCATGCCCAGTTCAGGAATTTGCCTTCCCCTCTTAGAAACCAGAGGCTGAATGCCCAGAAAGAAAAGCAGGGTGCTTTTCGATCGTCTAGTCCTCTTCTTCCATAGAGGAGAAAGGCAGCTATTTATATAGTACCCCCAGGATGAAAGTGGTCTTTTTGCAAAGCAAAGGGGCGCTGAGCTCTAGATAGAAAGGGATTGTTGCACAGCTTCAAAATCCCCATCAGGTTGCATGTACCAGGAAGATGCACCAGGGACGTTGCAATTCCCTCCTCCCTCCATACCCGGGATCACAGGTGGCCAACTTGCAACTCCAGAGCCACATGCGGCTCTTCAGAAGTTTTCATAGACATCAGGGCTGGAAGGGACCTCGGAAGATCATCGAGTCCAGCCCCCCGCCCAAAGGGCAGGAAGTCAGCTGGGGTCATAGGATCCCAGCAAGATAAGCATCCAGTTTCATCTTGAAGGTGTTCAATGAAGGTGCTTGAACCACCTCCGGCGGCAGGCTGTTCCAGACCTTGGGGGCTCGGACAGTAAAGAAGTTCTTCCTTATGTCCAGCCTGAAACGATCTTGAAGTAGTTTGTGAACGATCTTGAAGTAGTTTGTTAATCTGCAAAGATTCAAGGAGATGCATATTAACTCCTGAAGAGCCGCAGGGTGGCCACCCCTGCCTTGGATTGACCTCTTCTATTCATCAGCATCCTCAAGCCAGGCAAGAAAAATGTTAAGATTTAAATGTGTTAAAAAATGGGTTGAGTTAGCCCAATGCCCCACTGGGAACACGCACAGTTTCTGTGACGGGGCAGGGAAAAAACAGCCTGCAGGACACCCATATTTTCATGGCAAAAGGAGGAGTGCTCAGACTTGGTGCAAATGTCTCTGAACATTTCTGGAGATCCTGCT